CACACGGTCGTATCTTGGATTTGAAGGTCTAGAACTCGTGCTAGGTAAATTAACGTTCGCCATTTCGCCAAACCCAACCATTCCCAATTAGCTGTTTCGCTCTATCTTAACAAGGGCACGGAACTGAGATATCTACCCGACCCTTTGATGGCACCCACCATGGAGCTTCACGTCTGGGGCGGGGCTTTTGGCCTGCCGTCCATCGACCCAGAATCCCTCGCAGCAATCGCATACTTTACAGAAACATCAAGTCCCGGTGTATTCAAGCTCATCCCAACCAGTCCCTCCGCTGTCCCAACCAGTAAGCCAACCCGCCCCCCCTCGAATCCTTAACTAACGCCCCCCCAGACCAACTCCCCTCCCTCTACATCCCCTCCACCAATACCTGGATCTCCAGCTTCGCCGCCATCACCGCCTTCACCCGAACCGCCTCCTCCATCTCGATGCGCACCACCGGCGTCGTCCGTGACGGACCCCCCCTTACCCCGGCCCAGAAAGCCGACTCGGCCGCCTACACCGCCTTCCTGACGCTGCACGCGGCCCCCCTGCTCGCCCTCTCGCTCTACGTCTCGTCGGCCAACTGGGCCGCTAGCACCCGACCCGCCTACAGCGCCGTCCTGCCGTTTCCGCTGGCCTGGACCGAGCCGCCGGCGATCCGCGCCGCCATGATCCGCCGCGCCGAGCACCTCGGCATGTCGGGGCTCGACACGGACGCGGTGGCGGAGAAGGAGGGGCGGCTCGAGGCGGCCGCCGCCGCCGCCGGGTGGGTTACTGCGAGGAAGACGGTGCGCGAGATGTTGGCGCCGGAGCAGAAGGGGCGGATCAGACTGGAGAGGTTGGCGGGGGACGTGTTTGAGGTGCTGGTCGAGGTGGACTGGGACGGGGTCAGCAGGGAGACGAGGTGTCTCGGGCTTGCGTATCTGGCGCTGATGGATGTTGCGAGTTTGCCGAGGCCGTGGTTGGGTGAGGTCATGAGGGAAAAGTACCCGGCTTGCGCACGGGCTCTCAAGAAGCTGTGGGCAGAGGTGTTCCCTCCCGGGTCAAAACTGCCCTGGGTGCGAAACGGGCCGGAAAACTCGGTCCTGCGGGTCGGAGCACGGTTTGCCAATGGGCTGATCAAGGATGTGCCTGTGCTTGGGCAGGCGTGGCACCGGTTTTGGGCCGGTGTAAGGAGACGGGGACTTCAGAATCAGGCGGAGGCAAAGGGACACAAAGCTAGCGTCGGGACGTTTCTTGCGGCGAATATGCTCACCCTCATCGTTACTACTTCGGCTATCCTGGGCTTCCGCGCAATGGCGGGAAATGGGCCCAGTCTGCGGTCATTAGGCGGATTGCCCGTTCTTCCGTCATTTGGGGCACCTCTTCAGATATGGAAGAGGCCGCTTACCGGGGTGGCTGGGGCTCTGTACAGGAGGTAGCATGGAGAGTGAAGGATGTGATTTTACGGAGTACATGGATACCCTGCTCGGCTGAGATGGATGGTTCTGACATGGAAGGGCCAGTGTATAATACCAAATGTATAATTTTGTTCTGTATAGTTTGACCTGGTGGCTTGATGGTATTGTGAAAGAAGATGGATCACTTCAAGATTGGACTGTCAAGGGTCGTGGATATCTCAAGACGTCGAACCCTACCCTGTGTATGGTGTATAGTCCACCGACTACAGGAGTTGACTTGACATTCAATTTTAGGTCTGTCTGTACAAATCCTTGCAACCTTACGCCCAAGAGCTGGCACGGCTTGGTGGGTGAAGATCTCTGCTCTTGGTTTCTTTTCTTCTGCATTTGGTCCTCTCTCCGCACTTCATCTTTCATGTCGTACTTTTCTGTCATCTCGGACTGTGTATCCCGCCCGTCTTGCTCGGCTGCGGGCATTTACAAGGCTGAACCATCCCTGCTCCTCCCTTATCTGCTAATTGGCGAACGAGGCCAAAGCTCCCATCCCTCGGTCTCCACTGCGGGGCAGGCCAATTTTTTCCCGTCAGCCTTGCCAATTGCCTCTCCAAATTTTTGGATTTGCGCATCGAATCTAGACCCGGTTTTCCAGTCAACCCAAACCACAATCGATGACCATGGATATTCTCAAAATCCTCTCCCGGGGCCTCAAGCCTAACCCCCAAAGGAAGGCACAGACGGCTGGCACACCACTGCTTCCCTCGTCGGGATCGCGCCCCAACCCACAGTTCTTCCACGACGATGTCGGCGCGACAAAAAGCAAGAAAAGGAAGAGGAGAAAGGGTGCTCAAGCCGACGATGCAGCAGATGGAAACGATGGTGACAGCGACAGCGACGTGAGCGATGTCGATTACTTCAACCCCAAGCCAGCAGCGCCGACGCCCGGTACCGCCTCAACCACCGAAGTCCCCACCAACAACCCCGAACCCCCTTCCTCCAAGCCGAAATCCCCCAAGCTCCTCGCCGAGGATGAATGCCGCCAGATCCTGCGCTCGCACAGGCTCAAGCTCACCATCCTCTCCCGCACCGCGCCGCCGCCGCCGCCAGCAGAAGAACCCCCGACCAAGAGGTCGAGGAAGGGCAAGAAGGACGAGGCGAAGCCCGACCCGGCCCCGGCCAAGGACGACAAGAAGCAAATTTACCCCCAGCCCCTCGCCGCCTTCGGCGCCCTCAAGTACGTCTATGGCGTCCCCCCCACCCTCGCCGACAACCTCACCCGCCAGGGTTTCCGCGTGCCCACCGAGGTGCAGATGGGCGCCCTGCCGCTGCTGCTGCGGCCGCAGACGGCGCTAAAGAAATCCAAGGATGTGGACCTCGGCGCGGATGGGGGGGTGGACTTCCTGGGGGTAGCGCCTACTGGCAGTGGGAAGACAATTAGCTTCTTGATCCCGGCGATTGATGGGGTGTTAAGCAGGCGCGGGGAGGTTAAGGAGGGGGAGGTGCGGGAGCATGTGCTCGAGGCGATTGTTGTTGCGCCGACGAGGGAGTTGGCGAGTCAGATTGTGAATGAGGGGCGGAAGTTGGCGTTGGGAACCGGGGCGAGGGTGGTGCTGATGAAGAAGAGTTTGAACCTCGTGGCTGAGGAGGTACGGCAGGAGGGGCTGGAGGAGGAGGCGGAGGAGGTGGTTGAGAGTGAGCAGGAAGATGGTGCTGAGCAGGAGAGCGAGGAAGAGGGTTCGGATGCTGAAAAGGGCGATAAGAAGGACCGCTCCAAGGAGCCCAAGGGACCTGCTAGAGTGGACATCCTCGTGACGACGCCCAAGATTCTGTTGAATTTCTTGACAGGGGGGAAACCCGGGGTCAAGAGGATGCTGCCGTCAGTCAGGTCGCTGATTCTCGACGAGGCGGATGTCCTTCTCGATCCCATCTTCCGCAAGCAAACGCTGGGCATCTGGAGAGCCTGTATCAACCCCGACCTGAGCCTGACCTGCTGGTCCGCCACCATGGGCTCCAACATCGAGACGCTCATCACCAAGCAAGTCGAGAAACGAGCAAAGTATCTACGCACCGACCCCAAGCCGCTAGTCCGCCTTGTCGTCGGGCTCAAGGACACAGCTGTGCCAAACATTACGCATAAGCTCATCTACACAGCAACTGAGCAAGGTAAGCTGCTCTCGCTGCGGCAGCTACTGCACCCCGTCTCGAGCGCCGACTCAGGCCCGCCTCTGCGACCGCCCTTCCTTGTCTTCACACAGACCATCGAGCGTGCCCGGTCGCTACACGACGAGCTGAAGTATGACATCCCGCTCGAGGCAGGCGGTTCCGCCCGTATTGCCGTGCTACACTCGTCGCTGCCGGACTCCGTCAGGTCCAAGATCATGACCCGCTTCCGCACCGGCGACGTCTGGGTTCTTATCACGACCGACGTGCTGGCGCGTGGCGTCGACTTTGCTGGTGTCAACGGCGTCGTCAACTACGACGTCCCTGGCTCCGCGGCCGCATACGTGCACCGCTCCGGGCGGACGGGGCGGGCCGGCCGCGAGGGCGGTGTGGCTGTGACGTTTTACACCAAGGATGATATCCCGTTCGTCAAGAGCGTGGCCAACGTCATCGCCATGAGCGAGAAGCAGGCGGGCAAGGACGGGAAGGCGGAGGGAGGCGGCACCGTGCAAAAGTGGCTGCTGGATGCTCTGCCCAAGGTTGCAAAGGTAGACAAGAGGAAGCTCAAGGTTAGGGGTGTCGAGTCCAGACGGACCGGCGGCAAGGCGTCGATCACGACGCAAGGCTCGTATGAGAGGCGCAAGGAGAATAATAAGCGGGGGGCTATCGATGCGAGTAAGAAGAGGAAGAGGGAGGCGAAGAAGGTGAAGAAGGATGGTGGGGAGGGGGGTGCCGCTGGGAGTGGAGATGACGGCGAGTGGGGAGGGTTGGATGATTGAAGAGTGCATTCGTATTCGATACCCGTGCTCACTGTCGTGATGTCAGGTTGCTAGTTTGAGAAGCACTGCATTGGCTACATTTGGCAGCTACTATAGCCATGAAGAATACTTGTAGTGACAACGACATCCCTTTCGGGTGTTTTCGCCGTTTCCTGCTTGTACGTACTTGCAGAGTGTCGTCCCAAAACCAAAACGTGCCCGTCAGGCGCTACAGCATAGGAGCATAGCTGTATGATAAGGCCTTATATGATATCCCTTCTTCAGATATATTCATAACAACAGTCGCCAGCCCTGAAAAACGGATAGCCTGATGATATCGAAGTCGTCTCTCGAAGGTTGAGCCAGGCACCTGTCCACAAAGGTAAATATGGCTTGATCCTGACTGTCCGTGAGTCTTGAGCGGTATTTGGTTTTCATCCAGATCCTATTAGATATTCATGAGGTAATTTTACCTCCCACGGCACTTGATATTTCCAGGAACCCCTAAACTGCGATTGTTCTCCTTGAGTTTCCTAGCCACAACCAGGTGTGGTTCAAAACAGCGCCTGTCCAGTAGAAACCAGCCTTGGCAAGCCTGTATATCCGCATGCCAAAGCTCATGACCCACTGATCCATCTCCTTGCCCATGGGGTGGATCTCAAAGCCGAAACCCCAAGAAGAAGCACCCGGTCGCATGGTGTAGTTGGTTATCACGTCAGCTTAACAAAATCGACTGTCCGAGCCTTTGGGCATCGTCAGATTGACAAGTTCCGCTGAAGGTCCTCAGTTCAATCCTGAGTGCGATCATCAAATGAAGCTAAGCTCCTTGTTTCTTTTTGTTGATTTTGTGAACTTCACCCTGAATGTTCGAAGGGTGTGTGCGGGGGTTTGCATGGACAAGGGCTGCCGGACCCCCCCCTTTTTTTTTGTTTAGCCCTGGGCAAATCCATACTCCCAAGCTTGAACCCACAAATAGGCCGGAAATTTCATCAAAAAGGGATTATAGTATAGTGGTTAGTATATCTCATTGTGGTAATCCGCGAGGTTCTGAGACGACGCAGGTTCGATTCCTGCTAATCCCAATCTTTTTTTCGAGATAACTGATTGCTGCTTTTTGTTTTGAAGGTAGCTCATCCACACACCCATCCACAAGCACCAACAGATTTCCATCAAAAAGGGATTATAGTATAGTGGTCAGTATATCTCATTGTGGTCATATAACTCCGGACTCTGAGACGACGCAGGTTCGATTCCTGCTAATCCCATCTTTTGCCGATCCAACCTCTGCTAGCTAGTTGTGGTATTTTTGCCGTTGGTTGCCCCTTGCTTGTAGCTATCTATGCTGTTTCTTGGGAAGCTTAGGGGGTTGTGTAGTTTCTTTCGATCTTGTCGCAGCATCTCCGAGGTTTTAGCTCAAACAACCTCGGAGTTCAATGAGCATTGTGGGCCGAAGGGGTTCATAGCTGGGCCACCCAAAGAACACTACCTATACGTCACCTACCTGCGTCAACGGACTTGACGCCGTATCACCAATTAGAAAGACATCGACGACTTCGTCAACAACGGTGTTGAGAATAAACACTCGGTGGTAGTGTCTGTCTTGCTGTGCATCTTGCGATTCGGGTTCGTAAAAGTTTCTAGAGTTCTGGGAACGTCGAGTCCTCATCGTGCCCCGTATACTTGCCGCCTGATTTTCCCCCGTTTCAGACTCATTTTGCCCTACATCACCTATTCCTAAGTGTCATCAGCTATATAATATACACGTGGATAAATTGCTGGGTGCGTTATTACTGTGGCGAGACAGTGGCCGGGTTGAAGAAATGATCTAGATGATTTGCTTTGAACTAGCGTGCATATAAGTGAGGGTGTCTAGATATGCTGTCCGCCTCCTGGCCATGTAGACGCTACATGCTATGGCACATCACATGTAGCTATCAGATCTCCTACCAAGTGAACTGCCTAATCGGGGGCACAACGATACAAGCCCTCTCAAGTCCAAGTCACCAACAACTCAATCCCAGAACAAAGTTCAAGTCTAACAGACCACGAGCATCTGGTAGAGATACCTATTTCGCCTCTATTCATTTCAAGGCAACTATACTCACCAACTGATACCAGAAGCCGCACAAGCCCCTCCACCTCATCTCCCGACCGCCAAAACAAGCAATTTACCACAGAAACCGCCACCCACAACACAACCCTTCACAGAAAAACAAAACGTGCCTCCCACCACCAATGAAACAAAGCAAAGCACCCAAAGGCCAAGCTTCCTTCCACATGTGTATATATCCCATGAAACGACAGCAAACGACGACCAGCTCGCTCACTCGCTTCGGCTAGCCTATGCGGTGGTATCTCAGTCCATTCATTCCAACGCTACAAAAAAAAGGGGTAATCCATACCATACTCAAACGCTCATCTCTGCCTTCGCTCGTCCTCGCAACCAATGGCGAAGGCACAGTAGCCCGGCTAGAGTCTTCTAAACACTCTTGACCTCCTTCAACCCCCCCTCCCCCTCCGTCCTACCACCGCTATCATCCCCCCCGTCCGTACCCGCCATTTTCTTATCCTCCTCACCCTCCTCCTCTTCCTTCTCCTGGACCACAGGCTCAGCTTCAGACACTCCCGGAACCGGATCCCCTATAGCCACATCTCCCTCAGCATCCCGCTTGAGCTCCAGCTCTTTTTCCTCCTCCTCCTTGACCCGCTTCTTGCTCGCGGCCGACTCGATCTCATCCGCCGCCTCCCGTTTCGGACTCCTGGGCACCGCGCCCTCGGCTCCGTCACCCCTGGTGACGCCAACCGTTAACGTCGGCGGCGAGCGGGGCTGAATCGACGGCCGCCCGACGGCCGCCTCCACATCGATGCCACGCATCTCGGCCGTCCCGTCAGGGCCGACGACGTAGTCGCTTGTCGATGCAGGCTGCGGACCCATATCCGCCGCGCCGATCTCTTCAGGTCCGCGCGCGTGGGGAATCTCGTCCTCCGAGTCGCCATCATGAGCTTCGTCGCCGTTAGGGTAGTCAATGCCGTCCTCCGACATGGCCGCGTCTTCGTCGGCCGCTGCGGTGGTGGAAGTTTGTCCGTGGGGTTGCTGCTGCTGGCCGTGGCGCGCAAGCTGGCTCATGGGCACGACGCCGGCGCGCTGCTCCTGGCGTAGGAGTTCGCCCTGGGTGACGCCACGCTGGGCGAGCACGGCACCCGCACCCATCGACGGGATGCCGTTCACCGAGACTGAGACGGTCTCGATGCTGCCCATGCCGTTGGGACCTTCGATCGTCTCGGTGCTCTCGGTGCGCACTTGCCCTTCAAGTTTGCGCCCGTTGCTAGTGCTGCTTGGGCTATTGTTTCCCGAAGACGTCGCGGGCCGGTTTTGAGCTTGTGGTTGCTGGGATGTTTGGGGTTGAGCTTGCGTCTGCTGAGGTTGCGATTGTTGTACCTGCTGTTGCTGCTGCGGCAGTGGTGCGGGGCCCACGCTCCCACCACCCGACGACGACCCCGACGATAGCGGCGAGCCGCTGCCCGCGTCACTGCTCCCATCCTCACTACTCCCTCCACCCACACCCCCTCCCCCGCCATTAACTCGCCTCGCGAGCCAAGGAATCGGCGTCAGTAATGCCCCGCCCAAGGCCTCGTCAGATCCGATATTGTTGGCCGCAGCCGTGTTGATCGTGAGGCCACCGCCTGCGCCGGCGCTGGCGCCATTGGCCAACAGCGTCATAGCGCTCAAGTCGGGGATGGCGGGCGGTAACGGGTAGACATTTGCGCCGCTAGTAACATGTACGACGCGGTCCAGGGCATGTAAGTACGCGATGAGGCTGCGATATTGTTGGCGCGGGCGGAGTACGAGCTCCGCTAGGCGCTGGATCGTGTGCGGCGGATATTGAGCAAAGTTGAGGGCGAGCGTCGACGTCACCTCGTTGAGAAGGGCGATAACGGGTGTCGGGAGGGTTGGCGCGGTGCCGGCGGGCGGGTGGAGCTCGGGGAGTTGTTGCTCGTCAAGCGGAGCGGGTGGCTGTAAGAGGGGGAGGGCGGCATGGGCCTGTAGGGGAGAGGAGGAGGGGAGGAGTGTTGATGATGAGAGAGAAGTGTTGATGGCGCCAGCACGGCCCGAGTGCGAGTGAACTGGGGAGGGGTTGGCGTTTTCCTTGTTGGTCTCTTGTGACGAGGGCGTCGTGTCGGACGAGCTCGGGGCATCGATCGGATCGGAAGACGGCAGCGGGGCGAGGAACCGCGGAGAGGGAGGCCGGGCTAGGGGCTGTGGCGGGGGAATGTGGGGGATGGGGAATTCATGGTGCGCGATCTGGAGAGGGCGCGCAAGGGCGTTAGCTGGGCGAATTCTCCTTTGTCGCCATGGCGCGGCAAGATGGGGAGTAACCTCACCTTTTCGATGCGCGTAATGACGATGGGGAGGAGGGCCGGCCAGGACGAGCTGCGGCGACGGGGTCAGCGACACGACCTCGACCAGCGACAAGCGGCCGGCGGCAGGCGACCGGCGATTGGCGACAAGCAACAATTGCGCGCTGGGAGCCGAGAAGCACTTACTAGTCCATGGAGCCATCGACAGAGGCCTTCCTCAAGATGTCGTCTTCGGTCTCAATCTCCATGTCGGCCATCTTGACGGGTGTCGGTCCGTCAATCGGAGGGTCGGAGAGAGAGGCTGGAATGCGGAATGCGGAATGCGGTACAAGCTGCGGCCGTTTGTTTGGCGCGTCCTGCTTCAGGCGACGAGCGGCGCGTGGTGACACCAGAAAAAAAAAGTCGATGCTAAAGGCTAAACCACAACGTCCAGCGGGCGGATCCGCACTGTGCGCTGTACGGGCTCAGCTCGTTCAATTGAAGAATCAAAGGGCTGATGTCACCCACTGCACCTCCTGGAAAGCGATGTTGCAAGTTGATTGCACCCTTATGATGCTGATACGAGATATGCACGATGATGAGGCTCGAGTACGAGAGATGCTGTCCGTAAATTTTCTGACTATGGGCATGTCTGTATTTCTTTGCCTCATTTTTGATGTGCCTTCCTTCCTCTTGCCTCCGCTCTGAACGAGCCTGGCCAGGGGAAGCCGTGACCGGTCGGGAGCCTGTGTCAGGAAAGCTCACATGGAACCCTTCAAGATGTTGTTGGCAGCATCACATCGATAGTAAAGGCAGTGTGGCCCGAGCCATCCTGCTATTATGTCATTTTCGAGCTCAGTCGGTCAGAATCAAAGCCCGGTTTGAGACAGCTCATCACTGGCAGCCTGATAGCAATATGGAAGCTGCAGTCATCTTCGGATCACCAACATCGCATTCGCATCCTGTGGGCGATCCCAGCTCCGCCGTCGCCGTTTGCCGTTCGCCATCGCGGCCGCTGTTAGAAGTTTTCGATTGGAAAACACTGCAAATTGGAGAGCCGAAGAACGAGCAGACAAGGTCTGCCTTTTGAGTGGACTATTTGCGGCGTCAATCACTTCGTCTCACACTAAGAGGCAAGACAGGGGTGACAGGCAACGCTGCAGGGGCACTGCTCCGTTTTCCGTTTGACGAACGCTGATGCACTGGTGCGCCTGCAAGCCATGCCTGCCATGGCACTCTGAGCCTCAGCGTCCCCATGCTAACGGTAGAGGGAGCCACTGCCGAGCGACCGCATGATTTGCAACCTTGGATCCCCAAGTTTGCGGTGGCAGCTTTCCAACTTCTCTCCAGCTTTCTCTCCCATACCAGCCAGCACAGCCTGGAGATCTTGCTCGCCTCGGTAATCAAGCAAAAATACTATCAGAAATGGCACTCGTCGGGCTTGCACTACATAGTGTGGTGGTGTCGGGAATGGTCAAGTCAGACACCCGTACCAAAAATGGGCATCTGGCTGTCATACTCACACTTCGAAGCTGTAACATTCGCGTATGGCAGCCGTTCTATTGTCGTCATTGGTGGTTGGAGGTCAGCCCGTCGGTGGCTCAGCAATTGCTAGGAAACAGTCAAGCCAAGCCAAGCTAGCTCCCTTGCGCCGACCGTTCGTTCAAGTTCAATGGATGGGGGAACGGTGGATCCACAGGTCAGCGAGTCCAGGCCAGGCCCACTTCGCTCCACCACCCATGCTCGAGCCATGCCACGATGGCGGGAGGTCGCCGGGAATGGCCTTGGAAGCGGTCTTGGGAACGGTCGTTGGAGCCGTCGACTGCTCAATCGTCAATGCAAGATCGCCAACCGACTAGCAGAAGCCCATTGCCCGGGGCCACTCATAGCATTTGCTAATTAGCGTCCCGGGATGCTGAGAGGCGTG